AAGAGTTATAACTGGTAAAGGATTATATAGAGACATCTATTTCATAATGAGAAATTAACTGCTATTTACGACTCTGATAGAGTTAATCGTTCATTATATTACTTAGTTCTGCTACAATATTGTTTAGCCTCTCATACTTAACATATAGAGTATACAAGATTTTTATAATAAATAAAATTGATATTATATACTCATTTCAATTTAGTTAGCATTAAGCCTTATTTGCTATTGATAACGATATATTGAAGCTTTGTGACAATTTAGCGGTCACGATTAAACTGGTTTAAGCATTTGAGCTTTACTACTTAGAGTGATGATAAATGGGACAGGTTTTAAATAGACGAAACCTAGAATATCTTATTGAGAATAATGTTTTAAGAGATAGATTAGTAGTTGGGGTATAAATTATGATTAGAGTTGATAATAATTATTGCATACTATTTAAATTGTCTCTATAGTTTAGAAATGTATAGACGTAAGCATAAATGAGCATAAAACTTCCTTAGATTTACGCAATTGATATTTTAAACAAACTATTTTTTCAGTTTTTGTACCATAATTGCTGTAATTGGAAACGTCGCGAACCAAAAATCAAAATAAATCAGCGAAAAAATTTGAAAAGATCATTTTATTTAAAATATGAATGCGCAGATAGTCTATATGAATATATATTTATATTATAATCAAAATAAAAATTTATTGTGACCACCGAAGAATTAGTTACTATTATAAATTAATATAACATCCATGATATTATAACAAATCAAATTGTAAATAATTACAACAATGTATTTTTTAATTTCCATTTAGTTTTGATATACTAAAATCAAATATAACGAAATTTTATATAATAAAATCTTTCCGCCATTTACATACGTATAATGTAAGTATTCTCAATTTTTTCTTGTTCTGTCACCAAACTAAACATAACTACCATGTCCAATATAAAAAATAGTATAATTTTGTAATAGATAAAGCTAGTTTATTTAGACACTAAATTGATTCAATATTCTCCAATTATTCATAGAAATTAGACCTAATGATTCAATAATCCGTACTTTTTGAAATTAAACTAATAACAAAAACGAGATGTGTTACAGTTTTAAAAGTTAACTTATCCCTAACTGCCATATTTACTTATTTATCTATGTTATATATATATACATACATATATATATATATATATATATATATATATATATATATATATATATATATATATATATATATATATATCAATTATACTCTACATTGCTCTTTGTTTTCCGTCAGTCTTAAGATCTTAAATAATTAATGTACCCAGCATCCAACATCAGCATCAAATCATACATATATAAATAAATATATAAAATGTATTTATCTATTTATATATAATATGATTTGGCCCGTGTTGGAACTGAACCTACAACCTTCGTCAAGTAGGTAGTGGTAGACAGACCAGTGTTATAATTTTAAAAGTAAATCAATAATTATTTTTAATATCAATGGATTTTATCAGCATTTGAATAATATTTTAACAATAATATAATATCAAAAAAGTTATCAAAATCTTGTATTTCATTTATCAGTTAAGAATCTACGAACATATAATATTAAAGGAGATATAAAATCGTGCATCCTCTTTAACATGAAAGCTTGATGCTCGTATATTTTACTTTATTTTGAAATATGGTTGTAAAATTTAATTTTGCTCTGCAAAATCTCATAATTTATATCATTGATGTTGTATTTTACACTATTTATCAAAACAAGTCATCTATACATATACGAGTAATAAAATTGTAACTAAGCCGAATCAGTATATTATTGTTTTTTTTATTTTTTGGAAAATCTTATTATCGAACCAGAGGCGGAATCTATAGTTTTTAGAATTTTTGTCTGTCTGTCTGTCTGTCTGTTACCGCATCACAGAAAATCACTGGAGGGATTTTGATGAAATTTGGTATGGTGATAGCTGGTTATCCGGGTCAACATATAGGATACTTTTTAACGCGGAAAAATGTCTGATTTCTAAGAAAATATACAAAAACTGCAATGTAAGAGTAAAGCTAATATGTAAAACCTAAGAATTTGATTTTTGGTCATTTGAAAGCGGGCGGAGCCGCGGGCAATGGTAGTATAAAATAAATTATTAAAAACTTCAAATAATTTATTTAGAAAGATCTTTATTGGAAAGAAAGAGATGCACTTAATTTGTGATCTATTGTCTAAACGTAATAATATACATATTTGCAAAACCAGACATTGCATCTATACTAATACTAATATTACAGAGGAAAGATTTATTTGTTTGCTTGTACCGAATAAGCTCAGAAACTACAGGACCGATTTAGATGAAATTTGGTAAAAAGATAGTTTAAAACCCTGGAAAGGGCAGAAAATATTTTTTATCCCGGATATCATCCTGGTTTTTTCATTAAGGGGCTGAAAATTAGGATGAAAGTTTGTATGGGGAATCAACCTAGGGACGAAGTCAAGCCAAGCGAGAGTGAGTCGATAGTCTCAAAATAATCTTATATACAAGTGCACTGACCGCTGAAGGTTAATGATTATCTCAATTTGTAAAAGATAAGCGGATCTTAAAAAACTATTCTATAAAAATATTTTATGTATATCAGATATGAAGTCCGATCATTTCAAAATCATACAAATGTAATAAAGTCGTAAAATATATCCTAACAGGTTCCGAAGTAGTAAAATGTGTAATATCGGCTATTTCAAAATAATCTCGACAGCTACCTCACTTAACAGATACCAAAACCTTTTGCAGATATGTGAAATTAATGTAAAACACTTAACATCACTAATTTAAATTTGTTAAAGAATATACTTGTGACCTGCCCCAGTTTCTGTCTGTTACTCTTCTTAAAGGCACTCGAAAAACATGGATTTCTATTGAAACTTTAGCACCCCTTGATCCTTATAGGAGTTAAATTTCCTATTAGCCTAGCTACGATCTAGATAGATACAGAACTCGATTGAACAAACTAGGGCTAGTGTAATCTGGGCATTGATAAACAAGTTATAACAAGCAGCTTTATACATATAGATCTACTTTTCTCAACAGTTTTATCCTTATATGCATTATTTTTGAAAGTAATATAATTCGCTTTCTAAGAAATAATCTTAATACGTGGTATCAATTATCATACGAGTGTTTTTACAGGCAGTTATCAATCTCTATCTATTGGGTTTTTAAACTGCTCGCAATCTATACATATAATAAAATTCTGAGTCGAATCTGTACATTAAAATTATCTTATTGAAATAGTCATTATTATCGATACAGAGGCCGGATCTATAATTTTTATAATTTTTGGCTGTCTGTCTGTGACCGTATCATGAGAAACCCATTGGACAGATTTTGATGAAATTTGGTATTATGATAGTAATCCGGGTCAACATATAAGATACTTTTTACTGCAGGAAAATATCTCATCTCTGAGAAATCTATACTAAACCTTAAGACATAACTAGGGACGAACCTGAGCGGAGCGAGGGTGTGTTGCTAGTAACTAAATAAGTTTCTATTTGCTTGATATAATATAAAAAATTGAATGTAGGGTATAGTTTAATTAAATAGGGTTATAAAAACTCATTGAAATACGTACTGCCGTCAGAAACACAACTAAAAGCTTCTTTAACATTTTAAGCACCTGTCAATCTCATATTTTTTTAAATTACAAGTATTATTGAACAATTTTGTAACGTAACATTTTTTTTAATATACATATATTGATGAATAAATGAAGATAACATAGTAAATAGATTTTCTATTGTCTACTGATTTGTAATAAGACTTGTTGGGTGATGCGAGAATCGAACCCACGTTCTTACTTCTTAGTCATAAAGGACATCTCATACTGGTACAATATTAGAAGAATATCTTTGTAAAGCTTATAACAATATAAATCAGTCTTTTATTCTTAAAACATTTATGTTTCTGCTACATTTTCAACCGACTTCAAAAAGGAGGAGGTTCTCAATTCGACTGTATGTTTTTTTTTTTTTTTTTTTTTTATGTTTGTTACCTCAGAACTCCGTCATTTATTAACCGATTTGGATAATTTTTGTTTTGTTTGAAAGGGTTTACTTCCAGATTGGTCCAATTTAAATTTCAAAAAAAAATACCATTGACAAGCCTAACACGTTTTTTGAAGTCGGTTTTTATTTTTTTGTTAATAAGTTTTTTTGACTTTTAACTACTTTTCTTATCTTTTTAGCTGATCCGAACAAATTTCGCAATCGATTATTTTTTTGCAAAATAAAACTCCTAATGTATTTAAAATACAATACCGTATTTGATACAAATAGAATAAATAACACTACCATTTTTATAATCAAAGAATAATTTTTTATAGATGTCTCTTTGAACATTTCTAAGAGCAACGTAACTTCGATGTTAGAGAAAATTTCATGTCACGACACACGCTAATGGTCAATAGATTTGACATTTCTTATTTTATATTGTTATTGAAAAACGAAACTTAATTCATTGAAATAAAGCTGTTTCTACTTTAAAATATATCAACGGTTTTTCTACAGACAGGTGTATGATTACTTAAAAAACAAAATAAATAATATAAATTGCTTCGAAGAAACTTGTGTAATATAATTTTTGTACTTAAGTACAAAAATTATATTACACAAGTTGTAAGCTTTAAAGCTTCATTCTAAGATTTTGTGTTTTAAGACAACCATTTAGCATAACTTAAATAATATAATAGTATAGGATAAAATACTATAATCACAGAATATGTATGGTAGTAAATAGATTGTTCCACTAAGAATCTATTACCTGAGCATGCACCTATCTTTTAGGTTATTTTATCACTTGTGATACTGCATTGAAAGTTGGAATATTAACTATCGCTCTTAGCACATGGATACTTTAGTCAATGGGACTGTTAGTATTCAGAACGTACCAGCTTTGCACTAAAATTTCATAAGCTATTAACACCAAACATACACATTTACACAAAAAATCACACAAACTTTTAAAATATGACGGAACGGTAAAGACATTCACCTCTGTTGGCCGCGGCGTGCGCACTGCTCGAGCGGTCGTCAGAACTTGTTTCGTAGAAAAAACTTCCCGTACCCAACATATTGACCCTATGCTTGTTTACCTCGCTTTCTTGCAACTTCTCAGGCACTAATTGAGCATCTTGATTACTATAAAGCTGTATAGGTTTCCCATATATAGGGCCGATAGGGCCTTTTTGAGTACCACCTATCACCCTTGGCTCTTGGTTAGCGAACGCGTTCACTTTTAAAATTTGATTGGCTTGCAGTAACAGTTTCCTCTGGATGACTTCAATCTCTTCTTTAGAAGCTTTTGAGTTTTGTGATAGCTGAGCTATCAGATCGTTTACGTTTAAATTCATTTTGGAGGGTTCTTCTACTTTGTTATTGTTATCCTTGTCTAACTTCATATCTTCAGGTGGTGTTATGATGATGGCTGGTAGTTTGGTATCTTTTCCTTTACCTCTTTTCACTTTTCTCACAGTTTTAGCCATTACATTATTGCTAAGAAGTAAAAGCTCGTACTCATTACGATTTTTCTTTGTTTTCACATCAAACTAGATTGGAAATTTTATTGTGATTGAAAAAATGTTCTACAGTTTCCGTTTTATTGAGGCTTTAAAATTTACTGTCGTATTTTTAGTTTTTATGAGATTTTTAGTGGATTTAGCGAATTTTGATTAAGATTGATGTATTGCGTTCGAAGAAAACACTATTAATGATCGTTCTAGATACCTGTTAAGTATTTTATTTGTATTTTTTGTGTAAAAAGCAAATTAGCTTAAACATTGTGTTAAAATAACTTAGGCGAGCCACGCACGATATAGAGATCCGCAGGATAATGCTAAATAAAACCCTAAATTATCATTTATACTTGTTGACAAAATATAAAAATATTTTTTACATATTATGTTATATATAGCTTACCAAATATAAGCAAAATAAAGGATATAGAAAGAATCGTCAATTTATTTATTTGTCTATATATTAACGGTTGGATCCATTTTACCAAGACAAAAGTTTTTTTTTTTTTATACTATTCAGAATTAGTGCTTGACTACGTTCCACCTGATGGTAAGTGGTAACGCAGTCGTAGATGGTGAGTCGCACTAATTCAGTAGCCACCTATTCACTCTTGCCTTGAAGACACCCATATTATAATCGGACGGAAACACCGACGCAGGCAGAATGTTCCAATCCTTAGCCGTACGTATAATAAATGACGTAGCGAAACGCTTCGTGCGGACGGGTGGAATGTCCACGACATAAGGATGGAGACCAGCCGTTCGTCGGGTTGTCCGATGATGGAAAGGGGATGGGGGAATTAATTCATGTAGTTCCTGCGTACACTCTCCGAAATGTAACCTATAGAATACACAAAGGCTGGCAACCCTACGTCGGTGATCGAGGCTTTGTAGGTTAGCTTTTACCAGCGTAGGGTCACCTATAAGCCTTTGAGCACGCCTCTCAATCGAGTCCAAGGCTGACAGATGGCATTTCGCAGCACCAGCCCATATGTGGCTACAGTATTCCACACACGACCGGACTTGCGCTTTATATAAAACAATATTTATATTAGAGTGATATAGGCAATATTTGACCGACTTCAAAAATGGAGGATACAAACGTAATGAGTAGGTTGTTTCTTTGTGTGTTGTGATCGCATATATGTTTTTTAAATATTTTTATTAAAAAATCCGTCCCTCAATGTAGAATAAACTAATAGCACCTTCAAAGATGTTATTACTTGCCCTTTGTAGAATAAAATTATTATTTATCAGGTACGTTTTAATTTTTTGAGCGGAACCCTAATTCTTTTTCTAAAATAAAAGTAGCCTACGCCATATAACATCAGCTATCTTCCAGTGAAAGTCCCGTCAAAATCAGTTCAGCCGTTTCAGAGATTATCCGGAACAAGCAGACAGACAGACAATTTTTTTTAAAAATTGTGTTTTTTTATAAGTACCGTATATAATTTCATATGCATTTAGTAAAACGCTGTTATTTTGACATTACAAATAGACACTGCAATTTTATTTATATGTATAGATTGTAAGACGTGAGTAAAATCGCGGAAGCTATTATTATAAAAAAATCAATTCTTAGGTCAATTAATATATACAACATGATAATAAAAAGTTATTAGCTACGTGCAAACATCAAAATAAATTAAAATATTGTTATAACATATTTGAATATGTTGAAGCTGTGTCATTGTACACGACTGCACTATATTTGGTAAAACATTATGCATTGCATGTGTAATGTAGCAGAGTGACGTAATGTTCATTGTTAGAAAGGCGTGGTAATCTAATATCAACCTACAAGGAATCAACATCGCTCTACAGTGTTTGAACATTGCCAAAGTTACTTTATAGAGTTTATGACTTTACAAATATGGTAAGTTGTTAAGGAGAAGTCAAATTTTGATTGATTTAATAATATTTATAATGTGTAATATAATATAGATCAAAGATGGCAAAGGAGTCAAGGAACTCAATATCTATCGATTAAACCCCCATGTTTAATCAGCGAATCAGCGAAACGAACCTAGGCTCTCTTTGAACCCCCCCTTGAATCGCGGGCGAAAACTATTTTTTACTATTATATATTTAACTGGCAACTCACACTCACTCTCAGATTCATCCCTAGTTACGTTTTAACGTTTAGTATAGGTTTCTCAGAAATAAAATATTTTCCCGCAGTAAAAAGTATCCTGTATGTTGACCCGGATTACCAGCTACCACTATACAAAATTTCATCAAAACCAGTGGTTTTCTCGTGATGCGTTCCCAGACAGACAGACATACAGACATTCTAACAACTATAGATTCGGCTCGGCTCTGTATTGATAACAATAATTATTACAATAACATTTTCCAAAAAATATTTAATGTACAGATTCTACTCAGGGTTTTATTACATGTATAGATATAAACTTATATAATCTTGTTTTTTTATGCTATCATATGTACATGAGTCGTGAGTGTGAGATTTGCTAATGTATTTTTTTAATGTAAAGCGACATAATTACGTTAAAAAGTAAGGTAAGGAAGTTCAAGGACAAACTTCTATATAACGAATTTATTCGTAGGTTTTTATAAAATAAAACTTCTATTTAAATCTATACAAAATATATAGTAATTATGTAAATATATAAAGGCAATGGTAGCTCAGTGGTAACGCGCTCGCTTGGGACACTGAGTGAAGCGGGTTCAAATCCCTGTTCCTGCACCTCTGATATTTTCACGTGCAAATCATTTCCAGCATGGTTACCACTTGTCTTAGAGAACCTAGCAAGTTTTCAAAAGAGATGTGAAGTCCGCCAACCCGCACTTGGCCAGCGTGGTGGACTATGGCCTGATCCCCCTCGAATTGAAGGGAGGCTCGTGCCCAGCAGTGGGACGTTGAAAAGGGCTGAATACATACATGTAAATATATTTTCTGAAAAGTTACATAAATACTCAGTAACTGCTTTATGACATCAGAGTAATTAGTTCAAAAATGTGGGTTTATCGTCAAGATTGGTGCTCATTTTCATTGCAAATGCGGTACGAATCAATCACAATTTTGTCTCGACGCCATAAATTTATCATCAAAGTGCTGGTTTCAAAATCATTCCAAGCTTTAGATTTAATTTGATATATGATACAAATAATTTACAAAGTAAGCAAACTCGATTATTTTTAGAATCCCACCAGTTTAATGAAAAGACTCGAAAACGAATTCTATAGGAAATCTGTCCGTCTCCCACAAGACATTTCTCGTGAATTTATTGAATATATGTTTAGTAAATATGTCTATAAAGATAGGTAATTTAATAAAGAAAATATACGTAAAATATATAAATTCTTGTGAGTTAATTTCGAAAATTAATAATAGTGTTCATTGTTTAAAAATGTAAAAGGTTGAAAAATGTTATCTATACATATAATAAAATTGTAACTAAGCCGAATCTGTATATTAGATATTTTTTTGGAAAATCTTATTGAAATAAACATTATTATCGATACAGAGGCCGAATCTATAGTTTTTAAAATTTTTGTCTGTCTGTCTGTCTGTCTGTTACCGCATCACGGAAAAACCACTGGACGGATTTTGATATAATTTGGTATAATGATAGCTGGTTATCCGGGTCAACATTTAGGATACTTTTTACTAATATCTCATTTATGAGAAAAAATACAAAAACTGCAATGTAAGAGTATACTAATACGTAAAACCTACGTATTCGGTTTTTGGTCTTCTGAATGCGGACGGAGCCGCGGGCAATGCTAGTAAATGATATATTTTCGGCTTCAATATATTTTGTATAGATATCGTAATATAAAAATGCACTTTTAATGTTTCTGTCTATCTTTTAAATAAAAATAAATTTACGATTGTACAAGGTAGAATCTATACCCCACCCGCAGATGCGACCGCAACAATGGTCGTCGCGACCAGGCGATTATTGAATCATATAACACAATATACTTCTGCATTTTTATTTAGAGACATGTAAAAATCCATTTATTCATATGTATTTCGTATCCAAACATGCAAAGTCATAAGTTAAAACTAGTATATAGCAGCCATGTAAACACTCGATGTTACAAAGTTATGGTAAAGAATTTTGATTTCACTTTCAAATCCCATAAAATGATACGCACTTACGTCATGGAATTAAATACTTTGCTTTTAATTTCTTAAGTGTTTACGATTTTCTGTGTGAGTAATTTTGTAATGTAGAAAACATTTTGACCAATTTAAAAAATAGAAATTTCTCAATTCAATGAGTCATTTTTAGGGCTTCGTATCCGAAGGGTGCTAACGGGTTTATTACTAAGCCTTCACTGTCTGTCCGTCTGTCTGTCAGCAGGCAATATCTCATGAACCGTAATAGGTAGAAAGTAGAAATTTTCATAGAGTGTGTATTTCTATTGCCGCTATAATAATTAATAATAAAAACCCTAGATGGCAAATTTCAAAGTATAAACCAAGTAAATTAAAAAAAATATATGACTTAGAAGTTAGTTTATCTTACGATACTGCAAGCTCTAATAAAACGGGAAGGTTCTGTTCTATTTCAGCGGTTAGGTGGATTTTACTGGCTTTTTTACCCGGTTAGTACCGCATAACCACTTGTTTGCAGGTGGTATGTGTAAATGCATTTCCTAACGTGAAAGAAGGCCTAAACATCACTCTAAGCTTTCTTTAATATTCTATCATTGCATGGGATCAACTATATGTAACTGAAAATAAGTAGCCTTTACTATTTTTCAGCCCATGCTTAGAAAAAATGACTTTTAATTGTTGCTGAAATGATTCTATTTTTTTTTATGGGACCAAGGGGGCAAACGGGCAGGAGGCTCACCTGATGGAAAGTGATCACCGCCGCCCATGGACATCTGCAACACCGCAGGGCTTGCAAATGCGTTGCACTATCATCGTATTTAGTGGTGTGGGGGAGGTGGTGAGTGGGCTAATTATTTTTGTGTTTATATTATTTGAT